ATTTAAAAATTTTCTATCCATTATATATTTTTTTCTAACATGTAGGAATCTGAACTACATATTAATATTTTACAAAAAATGTTAATAAGTTTTGTTTAGAGAGCATCAATTTTACATATTTTTTATATAGTTACCTTTGAGGATAGATAATGTTGCTAATAAGAATATGATTAAATAAGAAGTTAGCATTTCTTTTTCAATTAGCGATGATAACAATCAAAAATTTAAAATGAATATATTATATAGAATTTTGTTTTTATATTTATAAAAATATAACATAATTAAAGAAATGGGCACAGCCATTGGACTTTCGCTTAACCAGAGCAAATCTGAATTCTCACTTTTAAATTCTAATGCTCCCAACACTCACGATTTCAAATTCACATCAAGCGTTGAATTAACACATCTAGGATCGCCTGTTGGAGGACACGAGGCAATAAGCACCTTTCTTCATTCCACACTTGACATACTCCTTAAACTGGAGGACATCTTTACACTTCTTCCATCACACAAGTCCTTTTTTTTGCTAAAAAATTTCTTTTTTATACCAAGGATTCTTTACGCACTTCGGTCAACACCAATTTTTAAATATCCTATTCCTCTCCAAACTTACGAAAAAGGAATAAAGGACTTAACCGAAAAAATAGTAAATATCAGATTCAACGAAACCGCTTGGGCCCAAGCAACTCTTCCAACCAAATTTGGTGGTCTCGGCATCAGATCTCCACTTGACTTAGCAACAACTGCTTTCATATCGAGTAGTCTCTTGACAAAGCCAATAACCACCGCCCATAATTCTAAAGAAGACCTTTCCTTAATCGTGGCTATGGATATTTGGTAAACAAGGATCAATGCTGATTCTCATCCCCCCACAACCCATAAACAGAAAGACTGGGATGCACCAGTGGTTGCTCGCTGCGTTGAAACTCTCTTATCTAGCATGCAATCTACCGACCGCACCCTATTCTCTTCCTTGCTCAATGGTACGGGACATGAGTTTCTTGAGGCCATCCCATCTACCAATCTTCAGCTTCAACTATCCAACAATGAATTTACCCATGCCATCGGCATTCGTCTAAATTGTTCCATCACTCACCCCCACATCTGCTCAGGGTGCAACTCGCCAGTTGACTCGAAGGGTAGACATAGTTTACATTGTCGCTCCTGCAATGGACGATTCATCAGACACAAGCAATGTAATACAATCATCCAACATGCTCTGAAATCCGCCCAAATTCCTTCCACGTTAGAACCACAGGGTCTTTTTAGATCTGACGGTAAACGTCCTGATGAGATCTCTCAAATCCCATGGAGGAGAGGCCAACTTTTGGTATGGGACTATTCCTATTGACCCCTTGGCCCCATCCAACCACGCCATCAACATCCTTGACCAGAAGGAACAACTTAAAATTTCTAAATACACAGAAATAATAAACGATCATTGCTTCATCCCAATCATATCAACCACTCTTGGCACCTTCGGCAAACTCGCCTTAGCATTTTTCAAAAACTTAGGATCACAAATCAGCAAACTCTCAGAAGAACCACGAGAGGGTTTTTTTCTTCGTCAACGATTATCCATAGCGATTCACAAAGCTAATTATATCAGTTTCAATGGTAGCCTTCTAGCCAAACAGCTATCATAGACAACGCTTACGTCCCTTTTTCATTTTTGTTTCCCTGCGTCACACCATCTCCGTTCTTTTTTTTTAATAGTATTATTATATATTTTTCAAACATTTTTAAATATATTAAAATTTATTATAATGAAAATTTAAATTATTATATCTTATATTGATAATAAACTTTAAATTTTATTTTTTAAAAACTATTTTTCTTAAAAAAAAATTTCTTTTTATAAGAAAATTATTCAAATATTAATTCAAACTATAAAATAAAAAATATATTTGGACATGTTTTTGATATTCGATAGAAAAAATGGCACATTTTTTTTATTTTCATTAAAGTTTTCGAAATTTGTCAATTTAATTTCTTTAAATTTTGGACATAGTTTTATGTCATAATATATTTTTTATACTATTTTCATTTTCAATTTGGAATATTATATAAAATTAGTAATGATTTTATAAATTAATGTATATATATAACACTTAAAAGAATTTGAAAATATCTTAGTAAATAAAATAACCTTGAATATAAATATACTTAAAAGAATTCTAAAAACCTCTTAGTAAATTTATTTCACCATAAAATGTTTTGTTGTTGTTGTATCTCAAAATAATTGGCAATCTAAAATATTTTGAGGTAGAATTAATGTTGTTTATATTTAAATATTCTTTATAATTTATATTATGATAGCTTATTTGATCAGACCTTTGCAATGAGAATAATTTTCTTACAAGTATAGCTTTTCCCGATATAATATATTGCAAAAATATCTTTTTACCTTACAAAATTCTACTCCATCTTATCAATCTCATTTCCTTTTGATTATACCAAACTCTTTCACAATAATGATAAATTAGGCCGATATGAGTGGTTAGAAGCTTTGCTTAGTAAAATCTTAGAGAATCTCTTAACTAATAATAACTAAACGTTACCCTGGTCATAGATTCGGCTGTGACATTGCCCTAATTATAACTTACCAGTTAATGCCAAGGATAGATATGGGTTAAATTGTAATAAAAGCTAGGGTCGTCATTAGCGCCTCGTCAATAAATATACTTCCCAGTCTTTTTATTAAAAAAGCCCAAATTCCTAATATTTTAGAAACTCGCAATCTTTTATCAGATAATCTAGGTAGATTTATCATCTGGAATTGACCCTGTTACCACTTTCCTCACAAATATCAATAGTAACACACTCACTTAAGCCGATACAATAAATAAAAACGAATAGAAAACATTAGATAACTTCATTTTTTACTCCAATTTTCACTTTCACCATTGGGACATTTTATAACACCTTGCATTTTAAAAAAACTTTGATCCATAAAATACGAATCAACACATTGAAGGTCAAAGAATCCCTATCGTTTTGGGGATTTAAATATGATTTTCATAATCGTGCCCCTCCCCCACCTTTTTAATATTTTATTGTATTTTATATCGTTTTTTATATAATATAGGTTGAGAAAAATGGCTCAATGTGTTTTTGAGGAAGGTTGAGAAAAATTGCTTAATGTGGTTTGGAGGTCTGTTGGGTATCCCAGTGTGTACTAGTGTGTGGGATATGACAGGTTTAGGCTTGGAAAATGGCTGAGGTTTAGGTAGTGGCGATAGGAAAAATGGGTTGAATGATATGTCCTATCAGTTTTCCAGATTTGAGAATTGGGGATGGGCATGCTGACCAACTGAGAAGCTATTATATTTTTATATTAGTACTGTTCGATAACCTTCAATATAAATTCGAGGTTATAAAATTAGGATTTATATTTGAACGATGGTAATTATATGGTATAGGCTATTCCACATTATGCTGGAACTTTCTAATGATTGCATCTGAAGAATTGGGTCTTCCAGATGCATTTCATAGCCTTCATAGCCTATCCTTCAAAAAGACTTTGAGGTATAAACTAAGGATTAAGTGTGACAGACACACCTGATGGGAAAAATGTTTTACTTTTATCTAAGGAATTTCATTAAATTCTAATAAGCTATTCTCATAATCATTGTAGATAACAATTTTACACTTGGATTGACAATTACACATCAGAACTAGTTGAAAGTTTATTAAGTTTTGACACAATGTTAAAAAATAAAACCGCAAAAATTTAATGACAAATTATTTGAAATTTTTTTATTGATTTAATAAATTTTAAAAAAGTATTAATTGTGTATCAATAATTCCCAAAAATAGTCTACCTGCCTTATCTGCTATGACTGGTCTAAAATTAAATGTTTCATTATGTAATCCACCTCATATCTTTAAATATTTTAATTTAAAATATTTTATCAATTACTTACATTTTAATCATTATAATTTCGTAGATAATGATAGTTTTATTGTTAATACCCTCATCTAGCAAAAGATATAAGTATCTTATATCTATTGATAGGATAAAAATTAATTGCATTCGAAAACTATTTTCAGGATTCATATTTTTAATTCATTTTTTTAAGTTTTTATGTTCTAACACATTTCTTTGAAAACACTCTTTATTTATATTACATCCTATTATTCTTTGCTGTTCCTCAATCCATATATTTGTATATCAGTGGAAGATGAAGTTGTACGTAACCCAAAAATTCTTGCTTCTCCCTAAAATTTAGTCTATTTTTTATTTACTCTTTTCAGTTTCTTAGAATTGTAATCTATTCTTATAAGTTTGTTTTTTCTTTGAATCCTCCTTATTCCTAAGTCAATTTTTAAAAAAATTTTAAATACTATATTTCTTCCTAAGTGTCCATTTATAAATAAGATAGCACACTTTTATAAAACACATTGGTCAGTGTTGTTAAACGACTCGTTTTGGCCGATTTTTAAAAATGGCTAACTCAATATTTTAGCCAGAAAAATATTGCCTAAGCCACGAGTTTTCTCTAATAGATGTCCAAACCTTTGTTCCTTCTACAAGCAATCGGGCTTGGGTAATATTATTCTGGATAAAATAATGAGTTAACCGTTTTTAAAAACCGGCTCAAAATGAGTCATTAAACAACACTATTTGTCACACTGGATTTTGTCCCTAGTATATTTTCCCGAAAAGTGATATCTGGGATTCCATTTCTTATAAGCATATTAATTTAGTTTCTAATTAATTTATTTTAAAAAAATTTCTAGGCACATCACCCCCCCCCCCACCCCCCTTAATGTTTTATTTAGTTTGTGAGAAATATTTGTTGCGAAAAAAATTGACCATTTAAAATTAGCACGCTGGAACAGACTTTAATAATTTTATTAATAATAATTCAATGCATAATTATAAATTTTAATATAAAATAATATCGTAAAAGTCGAATTACATTTAAGATGAAAAAAAAATGTGTAAGTTATATTATAATATTATTTGTTAATAAATTCCATAAAATTTGATCCGATTAAAAAAACTATATAGCCCAATAAATTGATATTGCTAACACATGTTATAAAAATAAAAAGTAAGCAAATTTTTAAAATCATATAGGAGAAAGGAGGGAGGTTGAATTAGGAGAGCATTCCATGCAACGTGGATATCGCGCATTTGGACATATATTCGCACAAAAAGTTTCAAATCCTAGAATAAAGATTTTATATTAATTAATTTAATTATAACTTTTACCATGGCTTGCGATATATTCGTTTTGATCATAATGCGGATCTCTGATCCATGGATCCGCCGTCCCTATAATAAAATATAAGATTTCGATGAATCTAAAAATAGCATTTATTGAAAATTTCATTTGGTTTTTTTTTTCAATAGGGATCTTCATAATCATAGAATAGCTCAGGGTTGCCAAAATAAAATAAAAATGTTATATGATGCTTCTAAACTCTATAATTAAAAATAACAAATTTATATAGGTGGTCACAAATTAGTTTATACAAAGAAAATATTCCCTTTGGAGCTGGAGGACCATGAAATATCAACTAAATACAAAGACGTCTCACGGCATACAGCAATTAGGCCTGACCCAAAAAGGAGTGCAAGCGGGACAATTGATATCAATTTTTATAAATTAAAATCAGTATTTTCTATATCGAGTCTTTTATTGTGTTTTTCAACCAATCTTGTAATAACATTAATTTAAGTAAGATTTGCGTTTATATCAATCCTTTTTATTATTTATTAGATTATCAATACTTCGTTTAATTATTGCTTTATTTCGATAAAAAAGGACAGCAGTGCGAGTGAACGAAAGATAAAAGAAAACCATCAGATTTCAAAGTAAATATAGAAAACAAGTTCATCCGACGCCAATAACGTTAATATGCTAGGAAAGAAAAATGGAGTTCAATAATTGATATCAAATCTAAATCCAATGCTGGCACCGATTTTCTGGTTTTATCCTTCAAAGTTGATCAAGCTGTTTTAAGCTGCTTTCGAAATTTATGGATAGACGGAATATTCTTGACGCCCATCTTAATGTTGCAGAAAAATACTGATACTCTAAAACTCCCCTATTAACGCTAATTAACAAATTCGATGCTATCTAGTAGTGTGACTGCATACCTAAATTTAGAGAAAGCTGTCTAAGATTTTGCGACAAAATATAGCAGGAATATTTATTTATATAAAATGAATATTTCGAATATTTTTTTTTAAAGTTTGTAAGAGGTGGCAAATAAATTATTGTATAAATATCTATACGACTTTAGACCTAAAGACAATATATTTATTTTTACCTCTTAAAAATATTCTTAGGCCAAAATAGTATAATTATACAAAGATCTGTTAAAGGGTTAAAGGGATATTTATGCAGATTTAAAAATTTGTTTTTTGCATTTTAAACAACAGCCTTTCAGAATTAGTTACTAGTTAATTATTTAAAATTTTTCTATCCATTATATATTTTTTTTCAAACAAAACCCAGAAATTCCACCCTTGTAGTGATCTACATATTAATATTTTTCAAAAAATGTTAATAAGTTTTGTTTAGAGAGTATAAATTTTACATATTTTTTATAAGAGATACCTTTGGAGATAGATAAGGTTGCTAATAAGAAAATTATTAAATAAGAAGCTAGCATTTCTTTTCAATTAGCGATGATAATAATAAAAAATTTAAAAGTTTTTATATTTATAAAAATATTATTTTATTTTAAAAATGATTTTTCTTAAAAAAATATATCTTTTTATAAGAAAAATTCTAATATTAATTCAAACTTTCATAAAATTATATTTTGACATGTTTTTGATATTCGATAGAAAAATGGCCATTTCTTTATTTTCATTAAAGTTTTCGTTTTATTTCTTCAATTTTAGACATAGTTTTTCATTTTCAATTTTTGAATATTATATAAAATTAGTAATGATTAATTTACATAATGATTAATTTATAAATAAGAATTAATATATATACATAAAAATTAAAATTTTATGAAAATATCTTAGTAAAATAAAGTAACCTTGAATATAAAAACAATTAAAAGAATTCTAAAAACTTCTAGTAAATTTATGTCACCATAAAATTTGTTGTTGCTGTTGTCAGCCTCAAAATAATTGGCAATCTATAATATTTTTAGGTAGATATTAATTAATTAAAAATGTTTATATTTTATTTTTCTTTAAAATTTATATTATGATAGATTATTGGATCAGACCCTTGCATTGAGAATAATTTTCTAATCGGTACAGCTTTTCCCGATATAATAAATTACAAAAATATATTCTTACAAAATCCTACTCCATTTTATCCACCTCATTTCCCCTTGATTTTACCAAACTCTTTTAAATAAAGATAAATTAGGCAGACATAAGTGTTTGGAAGCTTTGTCTAGTAAAAACTTAGGGAATCTCTTAAGTAATAACAACTAAGATTTACCATGGTCATAGATTCGGTTTCGACATGGTTCAACCTCATAGCTGCCCTTATTATAACTTACCAGTTAATGCCAAGGTCTGATATGGTTTAAATTGTATTAAGAGCCAGTTTTTTACGCAACCTTTTATCAGATGATCTAAAGATAGCCCGATGGTCTTATAACTATCCCATGGGCTCTGGGTAAATTTCTCATTGAAATTGAACCTGCTACCACTTTCCTTACAAATATCAATAGTAACACACTCACTCAAGCCGAATATAAACAAATACAAAACATTAGATAACTTCATTTTTTCCTCCAATTGCCACTTTCACCATTAGAACAATTTTCCTCTAACACCTTGCATTTTATAAAAACGATGATCCATAAAATATAAATCCACGCATTGGAGGCCAAAGATTCCCTATTCTTTATGACAAAAAATATAAATTAAAATATTTAAATATAATTACCTCGTTTTGGGGATTCAAATATGATTTTCATAATCGTGCCATGCCCTCTCCCCTTTTTAATATTATATTGTATTTTATATTCGTTTTTTTATATAGTATAATTTGAGAAAAATGGCTCAATGTGTTTTGAGGGCCGGTTGAGAGTTGTTTGGAGATCTTGAGTATCCCAAATCAACTGAGAAGGGGAATAGAAACAGGTCGGTTGAAGTTTGGAAGTGGGGAACACAATGAAAGGGCAGTGAATGATCCAGAGATTTTTTTATTTTGTTCATTTAAAAATCAACGGGCTCCTCATTTTAAAATGTTCTGAACAATGGGGAAAATATGGTATTCAAAAAGTTTGTTATTTCTTAATTAACGTAAATTAATTAAATTTATTAGACACTTCTCTTAATGTTTAAGTTGGGCAAAGCTCATTTTAACAACTTGAGGCCGAAATCGGATGTCACTTATTTCCATTTATCTATTAATACCGCCGCTTTTAATTGATTTTAATTACCTTGTAAAAATGCCTAATTCTTATATTATATCACATGTAACATCAAACGCACTGCTAGTAAGATGCCCCTCTTATACTGGGGATCCAGTGTGAGTACATATATTTAGATTGCTTTTTTCCTTTTCAAACATATCTTTAATTTATTTTTCATAAGGTGAATAAATTATAAAATCAACATGATTAAACTATGTGTTGCAAATAAAGCACCTCGTATTTTACGTGGGCCAAGTACATTTATCCCTTTGCACTTACAAACAATAATAATATAGCTAAATATTAAAGAATAATTTATAATTTTTGATAAATATATTATTGATAATTAATTTCGGACATATATCCAATTATATGCTTTAAATATATTTTAGTTAATTAATAAGATCATTATATTTATTCACCAATAAAATTTTAGAGTCTTGAACAAAAATTACTGGTTGCAAATGACTTATTTAAAAAAACTGAATCTTTTATAATAGTTAGATGTAATTGGAATAGAATTAAACATTCATAGCTCAGATTACACAAGTAATTTTGTTTTTTTTGTACTTGCTAATTTATTAATATTATTTTAAAACTATATATGTTTGATTTAGGTCTCATATCAATATATTAAATTTATTATAACCACCCCTCTTACCTGCTTTTGAAGACCAAGGGTGATTTTTAACATTTAGGACATGGGCGTCGCCAGAATTTTTCTAAGAGGGAAGGGGATTACAAAATTTCTGGGGACTTCGCTTCCAGGCCCCATATTTTACCTTCGGCCAAGTTACCTTAGTCTTTATATATAAAATATTTTTACAAGATAGGAGGTTAAATTATTAAAAATAATAGGCCTGGAACAAAAATGAAAAATATTTTTATTAGTTTATATAAAATACAATAAATTACTTGTATATACATTATTATAAAAGCATGGTAATAATTTATTCTAAACAAGTTTAAGAAATTTATTTATAAAAAGTAAGTAGATATATAGTTGATATTCCTCTATTATATAATATTGGTTAAAAAATACTAGTTAAAATTCAACTTTTACAGACATATTTGATAGTTAGAGAATATATTACAGTTAATATTTTAACAAATTTTACTAATCAATACTCTTGATAATAAATATAGCAACAATTTGCATTCAACTATTTAACGCCATCTAGTAAAATATATGATTTGCTATATTGGTAAAAATTAGTTGATTGTCATATGATAATTTATAAAATTAGATATACTGTAAATCTATGATATATAATATTCCAATGTTTGTATTGTGTTTTAATTTTTTTATTTAATATATGATTTAATTTTATTTTATCAATAGTTTTTTAATTATTACTTTTATTAAAATAAATAAATTAAAATTACTCGCTTTATGAAAAATTATATTTGATATATTATATTATTTAGTAATTTTATGGATCTATTATTAATAATTATAATACATTTCATTTTTGTCTTAAGTTTATCTTTCTTATATTCCATTTCTTAAAAATCATTTTTTGTTCTTTTTTTTATATAAATGCTTTTTTCCAATTATGTATTAATCATGATGAATAATTTATAAAAAAATATCTGCTTATACACCCTATCTTTCAAATCATTGTTTAATATATGCATACATTTTAGGGGTCAGAGTGTGTGGGGAGGACTAAGGGGGATATTTTTATTAGCTTAAAATGATATTCACAAAAAGTGCTAAATTTCTGAAGGGGGGGGAATTTCCCATTGCCCCCCCCCACCACTGGCTATGCCTATGATTTAGGATAATAAATCATTCACTTATTTATTAGATATCTTTTGATACCCACATAAAGTTATTATATTATAATCATTTTGATTTTTATAAAAAGGTCAAATCAGGATTTTAGACAAATATATATGTTTAACAAGATTTAGCTATAAAACCCAGAACATCAGATCTCTTAATTTTTGGTTTTAACAACCTTTATTTCAAGTACTATAATTTACAGTAAAGTAGGCACTAATAAAAAGAATTCGCCTTGCACAATATCTTTAGTATAGCAATATCATTTTGTTAATTATTATTAAAATTACATAAAATTGTGCATTTTTTATTGCTGATAATACATTTTTAATTGTTTTACCTTTCGTGGCTAGAAATTAGTGTTGATAAATAGTCGAGTTTTTACGACTCTGAACTCAAGTTGGAGTCGCAAAACTCATTTCAAATTGAGCGGCTCAATGAGCCTGATGAGTCGGCTTCAGAGTCGGCTCGATGAGTCAGTTTTTACGACTTTTAACTCAAGTTGGAGTCGCAAAACTCATTTCAAATTAAGCGGCTCAATGAGCCGCATGAGTCGGCTCGATGAGTCGGCTTCAGAGTCCCTCTAAATATTATACTCATTAAAGTTGTCAACTTAAAGCCGACTCATCGAGCCGACTCTGAAGCCGACTCATTAGTTTTGCGACTCAAAACTTGACTAGATTTTAGGCTAAGTCGACTCGACTTAGCCGTTTAACAACACTACTAGAAATCTCTCCTGTGGGGGGGGGGTCCTACTAAAGCGTGCGAAATTTGTCTTCCAGACCCTCCTTGAACGAGTCATCGACCTGAATGATATATCTCTACAAGCAATCTGAAGCAAAATAAATGGGATATTTCAGTTATCACCAGCTGTTAGGAAACTCTAGCAGGCAATCTTTGAATTATATCATTATTTTTTTCAATGTTAAATGGTTCAAGTATAAATTCCTTGAAACTAATCCTTAATTAAACCATCACAACCTATGAATAATGATCTAACATATGATTACCCTATTTAATTGTTCCATATCTAACCGCATATTTACTCTTACTGTATATCTCCCTTCGGATGAATAATCGACATAGTCTAAACTGATATTATAGCAAAAATTAAAGATTACCATCAAATCAAAGTCACATATTATATGCGACTTAAAGTTGACTCAGATTGCCAAGCATAAGCTAAATCCGATGGAAAAAGTAGCAATTCCTAATATGGGACTACCTCTGTATTTACTCGGATGAGGGCAATATTTTCCTGGCTAATATTGAGTTAGCCGCTTTTAAAAATCGGCTCAAAATAACAGTTTAATAAAACTAGCCTTAACCATATATCTAAGCAAAAAATATCGTCGACTCATAGTATTTTTATTTGATTAAATATAAAAACAAGTATGTATATCATTAATTAACAGATTATATGATGCTTTTTTATTTAATTCTAATTCTAAATTTTTATTAATTCTAATCATTTCAGAGTAACCAATCTGAAAATTATGCTTAAAGACAGAAAAACCTATGGATTAGCTGAATTTAGATTTCTATTAATTGAAATATGTGGAAGTAAATTATCCTCTCTCAAAATTCGTCCATAAATATTAAATTAAAATATGGTTTTCAAAATGGAGTTATTTTCTTCTATTTCATTTAATTAACACATATAACTAAGAGATGGGAGAGGGTTGGGGCAAACCTCCCATCCACATAGAAAATTGCACGTTTTTTGAATTATTATAGGCTAATTACAATTATTTCATAAAAGTTTTCCTAAAGCTTTCAAATAGCAATTTTAAGTTCAAATCATTTTCCTTCTGGTGAGCTTATGATTAAAATATCCCTATCACCTTTTTTGGAGTTAGTTAACTAATGATCTCTAAGAATCTTCGATAATATTGTTTTACTCCCTTTTTGTATAAACAAAACTTTAAAATTTATAATTATTGTCCTTTATATGAATCCCATTCATCGTATTTGTATTCTCTCTAAACTTTTTATTTCCATTTAGAATCTAAGTAAACGGCTTTTACACTAGTTTGATCCCTTGATTTTAAATCCAAGCTCCGATTCTTAGTCAAATCTTCTAATTCTTTTTAAAAGTAATTTTTTAAAAAAATTAGAATGAATAATATTATCATTTAGTTCCTTATTATAATATTAATTTAGAAAAGTTTAAAAAAACTATTTTATATCAATTAATTTCTGGGACAAGCTCAAAAAGTGGTGGCCTTAGGGATCGGGATTTTGGGGAAAAAATATATGATTCGCGTTAATTTATCTAATTTATGGCTGGCAGTTAAAAATAACTCTCTCGCAGCTTGTTTAAGTAGAATGTTTACGAATAATTTTTTTTACTACTTTTTACCACTCAATTTCTAATTTATTTTATACGTCAATAAAAATTGGTGCATGAAAAAAAAGATTCCAAGTTTCCACAAAGACTTAGGTTAAGATAAGTGAAAGTCAAATTTAACGTAAAAAGATGCCTATATATACATATGGTTTATTCACTAATATACTTTTAATAAATTTCATAAATTTTTTTTATTATTAGAAAATTTTAAACGAGGGTCTGATATGCTACTTTTTGATATACATTTTACCCGTTTGAATTTCACTAATATATTTAATCAGGTTATTTTTTAATAAATGTCCTAAGGATAGTTTATATTTATTTAATTTAGAATACGAGTCTAAATAATTTACTATTATATAGTATAAAATAAATTTCAAATTAAAAATGATAAAATAAAAATTTGGCAATAAATAATTTCAAACAAATTTTGAATGTTTATTAGAATTCAACTTGATTACCTGTTTAAAATTAAAAAAAATAGGTGTTTATGTCCATTTAGAATAAATTAAACGCGAATCCAATGTCTTATGCTAATCTTAAATTATACTTCAAAATAGTTTATTATTTAAATATTAATAAATTATCTATAAAACGCTAATATTTTTTGTTTATAAAAATATAATTGCAATCACAACATAAAAACAAGATTTTCTTATTTTTTGAAATCACATTGCCTTTTTTTTATACAATGTTGCACTTATATGTAAGTAATCATTAAAATATACGCAAATTTTTATGGTTAATTAATCAAATGTAGTATATAATAATTTTGTCAATTTAGTTATATCTTGTGATAAAATAAAGTATAATTTTCATGTTTGTATTAAACAATGTAGATAATAATCGCAAGTGTAATTATATTTCAATTTTCTGTCCCAAATTATGGTAATTTATTTAAAATTTAACAATATATTTGACCAATGAATAAACCCCATTTTTATTTAGCCATGGAAAGTGAAGCAAATAGAATCTCAGAAACCCCAAGAGATGGTTAAAATGCTTTATTTACTTAATGTCTTTTATTCTTATATAAAACAACCACCCAGCCATGCTATATTTTATAAGCAATAAATTTTTTTGAAATCTTAGATAGAAGTTATTTCCCTTAAATGCACCTTTAAATCATATAAGCTCTACGGACCAAACTTCTATAATTTATAAAAAATAGCTATCGAATATTTTAAAACTATTATCTATCACCTAAGTCCTAGTCCAGACTATACCTTTAACGCCATAATTATATTGCTATCATTTTCCTTATTTTTTAACTTATAACATTGCAAAGGTTTTAAATCAAATGTTAAAGCAGTGTACCAAAAAATTTTTTTTAAGAAATGTAGAAAAATAATAATATAATGGCAAAAAATATTAGATATCAGATTTTGGAGCCTGGATTAAAAATTTGACACCAGTTCTGAACATTTTTCCAAAAAGTGCTGATTCTTGGTTCAAATCTGTTCTTGGATGGTTAGAACTGCTTCAAGGTTCTAGATTCTGATCATCAGGGTTCCAAATTTTATTTTACTTAATAATTTTTTTCCTATAAATTTTAATTTGTTGGGTATCTAGTTTCGGTTATTTATTTTTTTACCGTTTTTAGATTTTTGTTCTTGCTACAAATTTTCTTTAATGTTAAATATTTTCCAAAATGAACTATAAAAATATTGTTGTCACGATCCAAAAATTTTAATCTTAAAAATATAGTGCAATTTATTTAGAATTTCTTCATATTTTATAAAGTTCAAATTTTTATGGTAATTAATTTAACGTTTTTTTAGTAATCAAAATGTTATAGTTGATATATTTTCTAAATCAATCATATCTTAAATCATTATAATAAAATACTTTCTTGTTTTCTCGGGTATATTTCCAAAGTAAATACAGGAATTTAAGGCTGACTTGAAAAATTCATAGATCTTAACGATTAAAGATATTAAATATTTGGATGCTAATATAAACATATTTACATTTTTATGACAACACTCAATAATTATTCTTACCTATATCTTTCTTTTTATAACAATGTATCAAGTGGAACAAAATTTCAAATTAAACCGGAAATAAAACCTATTTAAAATTTACAGAATTGGTTTCCAGAACTGTCATAAGCAAGAAGTACGAGCCCTGGGAACATCGTATCAAGTTTAAGATCCAAAATCAGAATCCATTTTTCAAAATTTTAGCAACCAGAACCATATTAAAAATAAATATATGCTAACAGCAACCAGAAATTTTCTTTGATCCATTTATAACTCCGATATCTAAAAATTTGCTATCTTCTTTTTTTTTATTTAAAGATTTTCAAAATTTATCTGAAAAAATAATTTTTCTAAACTGTTTACCAAACAAATAGAAAAACGAATAAAAGCTATATAGAACAAAATTAGAACATTCTAGCATATTAAATTTTATAATCAAATCAACTGGTTTAAACATTCCCTGTGGGTTCACCTACCTTCAGTTACACCTATTTTTCTCTTAGACCTATACCTGAACCAGATTTTTATTTTAAACAAACAAAAAAATTAACATTTCGGATAAAATATGCTTCAAACGCTTTACGCTTCATTCACGGTTAGGGTGAATTGGATATAAAATATGCTCTATTTTTGTATTATTTGCGGCGAATTTCGTATATTTCTCCACAAATTCGCGCTAACTGTGAATAACGGGTTATTACGATTAAAAGGCTAAGATGATGTGATAAAACCATATTATTACTCATCCTAAAAATTTATAAGTTACAATGAAAGTAATTATGTGAAATATTAAAAAAATAAAATAGATGTAAAGAGTGTATACATTGGACCACATACGCCAGGAAACACATTTGTGTGCCCTCCTGGCAGCTATAGGGGGTGTCATCTTGTCTAATATGAAAGATTTTTAGCTTTATAGCACCAATGAATTCCTTTTACAAATCTTGAGAGAAAATTTTAAATAAATTCTTCTTTTATTTCCTCTCTTCCAACTCTTTGTTAAATTATAGATATATTTGTGAATTGGGGAATTAAATTTATATGTACATAATTCTTAAATTGCTATCAAATAAAAGTAAAAATATATTAATATAGGATGAATTATTTATTTAAGAAATAGACATGTATCATTTATTGTGAGAAAAGATCTTCCCGTGTAACATTTGAAACTGACAGAAAATTGGTTATTTTTAAATATTTCAAATTTACGTATTATAATTTTTTAAAAATAGGCAAAAAAGACATACAACCTCACACTTTTATATTGATTTATATTTTTATTAATACTATTCGAAGTTGATACTTTTCTATATACAAAATTCTATTAAAATTATGCTAAATTCTATAATAATAAAATATTTTTGTATTATTTAAAATTAGTTTTCTGTTTATTGATTGGGACAAACCTAATTGATGAATTAGTATGATAAATAATAATCAGGCATTGGATAAAGGTGTACCCAAATATTTTTTGCCTCTGTAACTTTCGTTCTGTCATGATGCCAATCTTGGTATTTTCATTTTTATTTCAAAAATGCATTTTTAAACTTTCTACCAAACGGGTTGGAGGATGTACTAAATACCAACTATTACTGATATAATTTTCTAAGTAAATGCTTCCAGATGTTAAAACATTATTCATGACATTGTTTTTATTTTGCTCATAATTTTGTTTTTTGTGGTATAATAGATTTTAGAATTGATAAATAAGCCATTAAATATTAATGTAAATCATGTATTTATTTTATATTCCCCTTTCTGTCATAATGCCAATATTTCTTAGTTCTTACCTTAGTTTTTCCTCTTTAAAGCAAATATTACCTACCTAAAAATTTTTATTTAAAAATTATGTTTGTTAGACAATTAGAAAAATGTTCAATTTGGAAATGGCTTTAAAAGGTGTTATTCCAGAATAATTTATTATATCGAATTGAGTGATAAAATATTAAATGTTTTCATAACATCTCAATATATATATCTATCGTAAATCAATTTATGGTAAATAAATTGTGGCTAAAGGCTTCGTATATAAAAATACAATAATATATTATTACGTGTAAAAAGTAATATCGATTAAATATATTAAGAAATAATAGCGCACAAGCAACAATGTTTAAATGAAAGGCCATACTTTTTTATCTAAAAAAATTATTTGAGAGGGGGGGGGCGTGATTTCATTAGGTTCGACAGCCTGGTTCAGTTTAGGCATCCATTTTTTAAATTGTTTTTCCCTTGCTAGATCAGGAAATATCTGAAGAGTCCCTTTCAAAAATAATGATGACTAAAATCAAAGTGACCATTGATTCTCAAACATGGTGTTTGAACATATACTCATTTTCCAGTGTTATCACAAAAATTGTAGAATGAACTTGAATATAGTGATGACTCATTTTTATTAAGAGGATAAAGAAAATTAAAAATAAATAGATTAGTTTTAAAATTTTTACCTTGTTAAAGTAGGATTTTATGCGTGAAGTGTATCATTTCAAAAGCACCTCCACCTTAAATCAATATTATGTATAACGTTAAGCAATAGCATTTAAATTAATAAAAATTCTTATAATTATATAGTCTATGGTTGTAAAGATGCAGGAATAGAAAAGGTGTCAATTGGTGAATGGGCCGGAAATGGAAGAAGGAAAATATAATCTGAATCGCAAAATAAATGAAGATACAAACGATATGTGGTTCGATATGTGAAAGTTTAGGAATGTTGTAATCGATAACAAAGTGATTAAGGATGCGTGGAAAAAGTATATGAAAAACTTTTTTTCCACCATTTATTTAATTAATGTTTTAAAAATACACAACTCAAGAATGGATGACAGACGTGTGCGATTCGATTTTATGTGAAGGAAGTGTTCCAGCAGACTATAAAAAAAATGGAGTTATTTAGATTACAAAGAAAAAAATGTAATCCGCTAGATTGTGGCCCGTACCGGGCGAATAAGCTCCTGGAGAATGGATTAAAAGTTTTCGGGATAATATTAGAGAGAATCAGAAAGTGAAAAGTGATGATAAGTAGTTTAGCATTATGTCTGGGAAAGGAGTCATAGATGTGAATTTTGTGGCATGACAAATACAAAAAAAAGTATCAGACAAAGAAAAGGGTATACTTTATTACGCATTTGTAGACTTGGAGAAGGCGTTTGAAGGTCCCATGTTAGGTTATTAAATGGGTTTTGAGAAAATCAGCTGTAGAAGAATGGTTAGTTTTGGCTCTGATGATATAAAAGGATGTCGAATGGTTGACATATGGTGATGTGTGACTGCATGAGGGATCCTTTTGGGGTCTATTATTATTTATCATTTAATGGAAATGGTTTCAAAAGAAGTACATGAAGGTCCATAGAAACTTCGGTACGCTGAAGATCTTGTATTGTTGGCAACAAGTAAAATAGTTAAAAATATTTTCATATGAAAGATGGCTAAAATGAATGAAGGATTAGGATGTTAATATGCAAGGATCAGATAATAAGGTAGAAATCGGTACTTGGTGAATGTGGGAAAGATTTTTCTAGAAATTCAATTCAATACAAGATGTCAGAAATGGGTGCATAAAGGATTGACTAGAAAGGAAGCTTGAGGTTAGCAAGCATGACTTTTATCAAACATGCCTGAATGGGGTATAGGTGGTTTAGCTATTGGCAATCTAGCTATTTTACAATAAAAGGAAATGTTTTGTATTTGGGTAGCAGCTGAACAGATGGAATTGTTATTTCTTATCTTGTTGAAAGGTTCTAACATATAAAAAAGTATCTCTAAAGAGTTGAAGGAAAAGTTTATATAAGCTGTGTGCGAAGCTGTTAGTCTTTATGGTGATGAAACATGGGCAATGTAAATTTTTATTTGAAACAATAAGATAAGAAAATGAAAAAGTTTAAATAATTAAATTTATAATTAACTTAAAACTGTATGTTGAATTGGATTGACAATATGTTTAATTAGTTTTCTCTAAATATAACAAAAAACATATGTTACATTATTAATTAAATTAATGTATTGCAACAATATAAAATATTTTGGAAATAAGCTAATATAAATATTGATATAGGTATCAAATAGAAGCTAATTAAAATAAAGGAGAAAAGTCGGATGTCATTCTTGACTAAATATCAACTAGTTATTTTTATAAAGAAGAATGATTGTTCATTTGTATATCATATATACAAATTATATAATTATACAATAATTTAATTTTTCTAAATAGTAATCAATACTCTTTTAGAATTGATGTCAGCTATTTATAATCAAAAAAGAATACCTAATTTTATTGTTTTAATAAAAATGGGATTCATATGTTAAACATTTGGTCTGATAAAATATTAAATAAAAGGGTTAATTATATGTAGTATTGGTCTCCGTATAGTATATTTGTCGATATATTTTAAATAAAATAATCTAAAATCTCCCCCACCCCTCCATAACATGAATCTACTTAGTGCTTTAGGAAAAAATCTGATCCTTGCTGGATTCGAACCCTGAAGTATTGGACTAATGATACACGCAGTCACTGACCAGGTCACAGAAGCTACTCAAGAACAAATTTTATTTTGTATATATATGGATCATGATAGAATACATTTCCGGTATGGCGTTACAAGCTTATGTAACAGTAGAATATCAACTGAAAACAATGAATAAACCAAAACTAATTAGCTAAAACAATTTATTTATTGTTATATTATTGTAAAATAATATATTAATATCTTCAATTGTGATGTAAATCTTTATTTTTTACTGTCTAAGGCTTTAATTTCACATTATATTTTTACTTTACATTAAATTTGAATTTTATTTTGAGGGGTCAATTTAAATATTACGGTCAATTTATTTGACCAAGTATATATATGACTCTATTATGTATACAAGATTGATTATATATTATCAAAATATTATCGACTTAAACCACAACGTTAGTGCAAGTTTTCCCCCTTGCAACATTTATCCAATTTATTTATGAATTATAAAACTTCAAATTCCATAAATTGATATAATGAAGATCATTGCCGGAATGTAAATGGGGTATAAAGTACAACTAAATATAACAAATTTGGTCAGAAGATCTTTTTATATTCTTTTCAAAAACGGATATGGGAAATGGCATTTTTGCTATACACTTATAATTATATTTATCTACAATGTAACTGATATATTTTGCTATATTTAAAATATCACAAGGTATAAATCGAATAGTGCATTATTTTTATTTGATATTGTTTAAACACACATCACATTCTTAATTTAATTGTCTCGATATTCTAGACTTTATTAATTTAAAGTACCTTCAACGATTGAAAATATTAACAAAATTTTAACATTTCTGATAGTCTTTTTAAAAGTTTTTAAATAAATTACAATCGAGTCAAGGTCTTAGCGATAAAAAAGTTACAAATTTTCAAAAACGATACTCTTTATATTTATAACATTATTTTCACATTTTAAAGTATAATTGGGACATTTTTATTTCTCACTTGCTTTACCATGCTGTATTTTCATGTAAGTAATTATAAAAATAATAATCTTGTTTTATATCTAATAAACTAAAATATAAGCATTATACATATAAGAATACCAATTAAATTTCATTCAAAATCAGTTATTTAAAATTTAAATATTAAATTTTTTGTTGAAGATAATTCATGGGAAGAAGGGAAGGGGGAATAGTGGCTAGATAAATTTTCCCCGATAAATTATATTGGAGATTAAGATAACCCATCGCGGGCCTTTGTCTGTGTTACCTTAATAATAGTTTATTTTTTATTTTTTTTTTATAAAATGCCTTTTTTCCTAAAAATTTCGAATTATAGTTATTATTATAAATTAATAACTAATAACTTTTCTTTCAACTTATTGTTTGTAGTGATATATATTGAATTCATATTGGGGAACTATCTTACAATGATATTAAAGAGAGCAGGGGAATTTTTGAAGGGGGTAGGCTTGGTTTATTACATAAAAAGCATAATTACAAGTTTATATTTTAATAATTAATATAGGTAATAATAGTATGCCTACTGATCATCCAATCTTCTGTCTCTAGTCACGGTAATATTTTTTTTTATAAATTAAAGGAAAATAATATATTAAATTATATATAAATATAAATTGTATATAGCCAAAGTTTTACAAGAAGTTCAAACAATTTTGACAACAAGTTCCAAACCTTCAAAAGATGGTTTAAATGCTTATAATTTATATGAATTCAATATATACATATAAAAAATAAACAGAAACATAACTAAAG